GGAGGTGTTGAAGGTTTTGAAGGTGTTGGAGGTGTTGAAGGTTTTGTAGGGGTTGGAGGTTTTGAAGGTGTTGGAGGTTTTGGTGGTGATGTACAATGGCATCCCGGTGATGTTGGAGGTTTTGGTGGAGGTGGGCAATCTTTTGCCGTATTAGTGGAGGATACCAGAGTGAAGAAAAGAAGGTTGATCGTAAGGAGAAAAGTTGTGGTTGCCAAAGCTCTTGAAGCCATTTTTAATGGTTTTGCTTCTTATAGTTGGAAAGTGTAGTAGTTTGTTTTGTGTAAAGATATGCAAAGTACTTGCAGTATTTATAGATAGAAATAGCTTCATCACTGTTTGATAAATAGCATAATATATTTATTCATTTTATTAATATTACAAAATTAATTTGAACGAAAATGACATAATTTCATCATATAAATGCTTATATATAAAACCCATCAATCTCGAAGTTTTTCAAAATTCCATACGGATGTTAAGAAATGTAGGCATTCGTGTTTAGTGAAACATTGTAACATCAAAGTCAACTTTACAATTTATAATTATTTTGGCACTTTGCATCTCAGCCTAATTTGAGACTTTATACAAATATTCATTTGACAAATATCTTTTTTTGGCACCTTTAATATTATTAGATTTGTCGTTATTTTTCATTAATCTCGTCGCCAATACTTATTTCCAGAAAACCTTATAAATATATTTTTTTTGTAACTAAATGTGTGCCCGCGCAAAATAGCGACGATAAATATCTCTTTTGACGAATAGTTTTCTTACGGAGAAATATTTATTAGATTTTATTTTAGTTATTATGTAAAAACAATTCCCAGTTTTAAATAAAATGATTATGCAAAGTACTAGTGTCTTCTTTGTAAACAACACGAAATTAATACCAGTGTCCGGTTTAAGAAATTTAAAATAATTTATATAAACATGAATTAAATATTTTAAAAAGGGTACATTTGATAAAAGAAATGTTATATGAGAAAAAGATTTTGAATTTGATTATTTGTTTGGCTGTGGTATGCATGATTACGAAAGTAGGTATAAAACCAAAATCATTGTCAAAACAAGACAATAGCGTTCCATGCAAGTGGGCACGTGGTGAAAACAAACGGCTGCATGGAGCAATTAAGGATAGAATAGACGGTGTAGTAGTGATTTCCCCGGCAGCAAGTCGAGGTGGACATTGTTACCGGCGGTAAATACCATCCCCGGTGGACTTATCGCCGGCAGCATTACGCCGATGGCAAGCTTTTAACGTCGTTCAAAAAAATGGATCGTTGGAGATCGTAGGGTTGCATTTTATGTCCGTTGGAGTGTTTCATTTTTTTAAAACCAAATAACCACTATATACATTCATATTTTTACCATTTAATCTACACAAACCACAAATCTTTTACTCTCAAATTGTATTCTAACAACCCAAATTCTTCCGACTCTTCCAACCCAATTGCACTCTTCGGTTACGATCAGTCATCATCACCACCTTACAAACCACAAATCGATCTATCAATTTACTCTCAAAATCAAATGTCTGTACGTGGTGTTCCTAACTACTATTAACAACTCCAAATGTAACAACAATAAGTGTTTCCACCAAAAGTCAAAACATTGTCACAACAATTCAAATTTCAATCCTAACAACCACGTACAACATCCCAACCGAAACGCAAACTCAATTCCAATTCCAATCCCAACTGCCATCAACACCTTCAGTCGAAAATCCCTTTCGATTCCGAACCCAAACAAGAAGCCCAACCAAAAAGAAAAAGGAGGGTCGAAAGTAGAAGATGGAGTCAAAAAGAAAAGACAGAATTAGCGAATTCATGGGTCGACATATCGGAAGATAATGCCATAAGGAAGAACCAATCGCATGATTAATTTTGGATACATGTTACAGAGCTTTTTTGTAAGGGTATAGTTCAAAGTTAATATTATAGGGCGTATGACCAATGTAACTCAAATGGGCTACTGTAAACAAACTCGTCATGCATTGGAACGAAATTCACACAAGCTTTCAAAAGCAATGAGATAGCGGAGAAAGTGAGATGAGTTTGTTGAAAAAAACACATGTGACATTCCAAGTTGACATGCTAAAGCCTTTTAAATCCATACATGTTTGAGATGTTGTAAAAAAATGTTAGGTGGAAGGAATTTCAAAGGTATGAAGACATTTCCAATCATCCAAGAAGATGCAAAACATCTTCATATCGAGCTCATAGCACATGTCATCGGACGGTCACATCGGCATTGAGTTTTCGAAAAAAAAGCACTAAAAAACCTAGTGTTGTCATCATTAGACATAATTGTAAAAATGGTCACTTTCTTTATCAAAATTATGCAGTTTTGACACTAAAAATATTTGATGGTGTACCAGTGGTCCAATTTTAGATACCTTTTGCATTTTTGATCTAAAAACATTAACATTAACAGCTTGGTTGTTAATTTTTTTTAAAATGATAATTTTATCCTTATAGATCATGTCTGCAACCAAAGTATAAGTACCATTTCTGCAACTTTACTTTTTAACTTTATTCATTTATTATATATTAGTTTTTTTTTTTGACAAAACTGTATAAATGGTCCCTCTGGTTAGCTGAAAAGTGTTACTTTGGTCCAAAAAAGTTTGGACTAACACCAGAGGTCCAAACTTTTTATTTTGCTGCAAGTTTGATCCAATTTGCTTTAAACATTTTTTATAATGACGATTTTACCCTTACCTTTTACTTTTTCACGTTTATTTATTTATTTAAATATTTGACTGATTAAAAAAATAAAAAAAATTAAAAGAAAAGACAAATCTCTCTCTCTCTCTCTCTCTCTCTCTCTCTCTCTCTCTCCATAAACGACCAATTTTTTTTTGTGAAACCCAAAAGGAGGAAGCAGCCTCCATCACCCACTAATCGGAGAAACACCATCCAAACACCCCTCGTTGCTGCTTCATTCCTTGACCACTGACAACACCAAGAAATACCCCAACACCACCGAGGACCACCTTGCTCCACCACGTCACCACCGCAGCTGCCCACCACCTTCTACTCCCCCACTGCCTTTACCGATCAAACCCAACCCAAATCCCTTCCATTCACTTCGTTCTCCCCGGAAGGAAAGCAAAACAGGAGGCAACAAGGGCAGCGACGAGGACGAACCGAGAATGGGGGTGGTGCTGAATAGATCTGAAAAATCGATCAAACATCAACCAATGATCTGAATAGATCTGAAATATCGATATGAATAGATCTGAAAATCGAGTCACAGATCTAAACTGACGGAGAAGATGAACCGAGAATGGGGGTGGCGCTGTAAACCGATCTTAACTGTGCGCAATTTTCCCAAACCATTGTTTTTCTTTCTTCGTCGGATCCTGCTAGGGTTTTCCCTTTTTCTCCGTCGTCGCTGCTATCATAGCGGGTTCGACTTGTTGAAGTAGTCACTCGACGATTTAGGGTTTCTCCTTGAACTTGTGTTTGGAGTGTAGATTCCAAATTGGAGTTTGTTTAGTTCGAATCTGAACTAATCGTCAAATTAGGTAGCGTTTTCCAGGAGGGTGTTCAAAGCACCATCAATTTAGGTCATTTCTATATGTTATCCCATTACCGGTGTTACAACAGCTCATCATCATTTAACTTGCAAAACCCACTTGAAGAATGGGTTTGATTTTTTTGGTTTAATTTTTTTTTCTGTGTTTAATTTCTTTTTCTGGGCTTTATGAAGTGTTCTTGAGAACTATGAAGAACACACACACAGAGAGAGAGAGAGAGAGAGAGAGAGAGAGAGAGATTTATTTTTATTTTTATTTTCTTGTTTTTTTTTTAAATCAAAAAATCAGAAAAACAAATAAGAAAAAAGAGAAAATCATATTAACAGGGGCAGATCCGTCATTTTGAAAATAATCAAAACATATTGGACCAAAGACGCAACAGAGTGAAAGTTTTGGACCATTGGTGCTAGTCCAAACCTTTTTGGACCAAAGTGACAATTTTCGACATACCACATGGACCATTTGTGCAGTTTAGTCTTTTTTTCATTTATAAATTTAATTATTTTTATTGTATTAATATATATTAATAATTATTTTTTTTACTATATAATATTAAAATAGTAATTAATATTACTTTATTGAACTATTAATTTCATTTAATTTATTCTTTTTTTATTAATTTTTTAATAGATTGATTCTTTTTACTGGATTATTATATAATAATAAATATTATTTCTAATATATAATATTTATATATTAATAAATATTACTTTGTTGGATTATTAATTTCTTTTAAATAACTTTTTTTTTATTTTTTTTATTTTTTTTATTTTTTTTATTTGAGTAATTCTTTTATATTGGATCGTTATATAATTAATAAATATTATTTTTACGAAGCTCTACCTTCTTCCATTCACCAAATTGTTTAATCAAATAAAGTTCTTTAAACTAAACCTAACCTTATTAACCTACTCTAAACAAGTTCTTAAAAATCGGTTGAAAGATCGCATTAAGTTTTTCGCGAATGTTCCCAACAACGTTCAATACTTCTCATAAGCTCGAAAATGTAAAAACTTGCAATTTTAGTTTACACCGAAGTTAATCCCACCACATAATGAATTTGATGTGTTTCACTTGGCATCAATTCATAAAACAATTACAAATTTTACAAATTGAATAACAAGGATGAACTAACCCAATTAAGACGACCAACATTAATCGGGTCTAGAAATAAACATTGAGTTATAAAAAAAACTAAAATGTCTAGAAAGAATGTAACATCAAATCATTTAATTAACTATATAAAAAGGGAGTTATAACTACAAAACCAGATGTGTGAATTCAATATAAAAAATAATAAAATAAAAATAACCTTATTGACATTCGTATTCTAATTGTATAAATGTTGGTAAAACATGATCATAAGTTGTGATTGCGCAATAGTTCCTCAAACACTTTTTAGGTTGATAGAAATAGTTAATAAGTTTATTAAATATTAAATCCTATTTGCCTACCACTTAATTACAAGCTTTTCAAGAATCACATTAAAATGAGCTTTTTGGACTAATTTTAAAAACTAATAAAATAATGCATAAAAACAACCAAACAATGTAGTCCAAAATATATTATGTTCTAAATATTTAAAATAAATTAGGATATGTGGGATGAGCGAATTATTTTTTTGGGTTTTTTGATTTAAAATAAAAAAAACTATTAAAAGAAATTAAAAAACAATCAAAAAATAAAAAATAATAATTAAAAAAATTAGGAATCCAATAAAATAAAA